GAGCACGGATGCCCGCCCGGCTGCCGCACCGCGAACTCCGTTTCCTGTTCGGCCCCAACCCCGAGGCCGGCGTCGCGGCGTGTTTCCGTGCCTCCGTTCCGTGTCCCCGTTCCGTGTCCCCGTTCCGTGTCCCCGTTCCGTGTCCTCTAAGCTCGCAGGCGTTGGCTTGGGGGGCGAGGTCAGCGGCAGGAGTCTCTCTCATTGAGCCCAGACACCCACAACTTGAGGTTTGTGGAGCATTTTGTTTTCTCTGATGTCTGTGTCTTGAAATCCCCGTGAAAACCCAGGGTGACCCCTTGAGCTGTTACTTACGCTGCAAAATCATTTGCTTTGGGGAATCTTATTTCATTTATTCATCTTTCAAAACAGAATTGCCAGAATCCAGAGCGGATAGCAGTCGAACACGGAGTGTTTTGCGAGTACGTAGAAACGAGCATAAAAAAATAACAAGCGTGGAGGAGTGGTACTTTTGAAGTCTAAATCATTCCCACGGTGCTGTTTGAACTCGTCTTCCTCTCAGCCTTAAAGGAACAGATCCCGGCCAGCACGCCTTCTCTCCCGGACCAAAGTGTCTTTAGGACGGGGGAGGCTTACAGGTTCTTGGGACGTGGGTTTGGTTCTCAGTTGTATGGCAGTTAAGCATAGTGGCTGTGGACCCTGATGTTTGCAACACAAGTTCCTGGCCACTCTGGGACGGCGACAGGGATCTAAGCACCGTGCCTCCAGTCCCGTCCTCATCCAAGTTTCCAGCCTGCCCGAGTGACGTTGCCGTTAGCAACTTGCGTTTACCGCAGAAGACAGCAACTTAGCAGGGTGAAACTCTTAAAAATTAAAACTGGCAAAAAACAATTGTTATTGACTGAAATGGAAAGTGAGCTGTAATTCGGAGCTAAATTATTTATAAACGGGGCTGGTGTTGTGCCTGGCCTATGTCGAGGGCGAAGATCTGCTTCTGAAGCGTCTTGCTAAGCGTGAAGCTTCTCGGCGTCATCTGAAAGCGCTCTAAGGGTCTCGCGTGATGGGCTCGAATGCGCGAGCACCGACGCCAGGTAGCCAATGCGCAACATGAGAAGAGGCGGGAGGGGGTGAGTGTGATTCAGAAAGGAAGCTAAACTGTGTAAGTGCAATCCTTTTACACAGAGTATGATCTTTCATTCAAAATTTAGGCAGACGGCAGGCAGAACGTAATCACCTTTTAGCATTACAGTAGTGTATAAGCATATTAGAAGAGCTCTGTGATGGTAATCGCGTAGTGAACTTGAAACCACCCCTAATTAAACTGTCTGCATCCCCCAGCATTTTCCTGTAATGATGTCAAACCGTGTAGCAATTAGTTGCACCTCTATGAGTGTAAACACTGTTTGTAAATCATATAAACTTAACCTGGTTTGCTTATTGAAAAATCTCCTAAAAAGGTATTAATTAGCTTTGTCTGTTTTGGAATCACAATTTATGGGATCATTTTGGAATCTTTCACTGAAGTCAAATTAATTTCTTTTCTTTTCTTTTTTTTTTTTAACCCTGAGATTCGTGCAAATGGAATCTCTCTTGCAGGGATCTGCAGGGGAAGATCCAGCACAATTTACTTCATCTTTATTTTATTTCTGCAACGACTGTTGAAGTGTGGAATTCAGGACAGGGGTTTACTGAATTAACCGGGGTTTAAGATATTCTTTCTCAAGAGGAAAGTATACATCGGCTGAAGGTTGCATCTTTCCTGTATTTTTCACATTCTCCAGCCAGCGTGCAGCGTCTCGAGCTCATCTGAATGTGAAGTCTGGGCATGGACGCAGCCTTCTCGCGTCTTGGAAGACAGCAACCCCAAACTGTGCAGCAACAGCTCGGGAGCAATCGCAGATGAGAAGGGAAGCGGCCAATTCCAGACAAAGAAATGGAACAAACAAAACAAAACACCCAAGTGTTTTAACTCGGCGATCTCTCCTCTGCCGACAGGGAGCACAAAAGAAAACGGAGCCAAGTTTAAAATTTAGCCTGCCTTTGTTTGCAGTTTTCTTGCTGAAGCCTTGGATCCTGGTGGTGGATGGGTTTACCTGGGCCATCAGCTACAGAGCACATTTATGGTTATTGTATTTTACAGGTTGATAGATTTTTATATTCTGTCCAAGTCAGGATCTTACACCACCTGGTTTATTATTTAGTAATTTACAGTGCAGTCAGGCATGTTTGGCTTAATGTAGGATAAACTTATAAATCTATTGTTCCGCCAGTGCCGGGGCTGGTGTGCAATGAACTACAGAGCCGGATGCGTACATACATTTCAGCTCTGCTTTTTTTCTTTGATAGGGAAGCAGGCAATAGATAACACGGTGACAGTAGCATCCCAGGGGACAGCAGAATGTGAGAGCAACACCACGTCAGGTTAGTAGGTCATTATTGTATGAGCCGCGAACCATTAATGGACTACTACGCCCAGCTCAATCTGTGTCAGATTATGGCTCTTGGCAGGAGAATTGTTATCTAATAGCTAACTTTGCTTCCTCCCTACCGTCTTATTAGTGCCTCTGATAAAAATGTGCACAGGTATATATTAATAGGGGGCCTCATTGGGAAAAGACAAGATCTCGGCTATATCACCACCACCCCCGCCCCCACCCCGCCCCACTTCTGGAAACAATGCCTCTCTGTTGATTGCGTCCGGGTAGTTCTTTAAGGGAATGGTATTCTTTCTCAGGTATTTTTTTCAGACCTCGTATAAAAACAGATGGCCAATGCAGGGCATTATCGATGCAAAAGACTCCACCATTAATATGTTTTGTTGGTTGTGTAGACTGAAGAAAGAGTGGGAGAAGGCAGGAGAGAATTTTTCTTCTCCCTTTTTCTCCACCCCCAACTCTTCAAACAAGAACACTGGCATATTTTTAAATTCTAGGAAAGAAAGTTCACATTTCTTAAAATAATACCAAAAAAAAAAAAAGCAATGACTATGTGGCATTGTAGCACTTTTACTATGTGTACAACAGGCAAGAAGAGGGACATATTGTTTATGTGTGGCTTCAGATAAAAGCATGTATTTTTAGGAAGAGTATAAGAAATGCCTGGGCTTTGAGTTATCCTGGTAAGAAGTTTATATTGCATATTTGGGGCCCACGGTAAAATTTTTCTGCCACCTTTTTGAGAAATAAAGGTCACCGCACGGTCCGTTTCTTTCTAAGCCGCTTGGCCTCCCTGCTTCAGTGTGAGTCCCCAAACAGTCACCGAAATGAAGAATCCCAGGAAAGGTGAACGTGCAAGTGAGTTTGGACTGAGGTTATGGCCCTGAATCCCTGCGCTTGGTTATGCAGATCATGTCTGGAAACTCTCTGTGATGTCAAGAATGTGGAAAAGGACATTGATAATAAATACTAGAGAAGTTCTTTTGACCAGACAGGCAGGAAGTAGCTTAGCAGAGCCGACGGTCCGAAGAACAGAAGAACGGAGGAGACGCAGCCGCGGCGTGGGTCCGGGCCTGGACAGATGCTGCGACTGCTCTTTAATGACACGGCTGGAGCGTGCCAAGGAGGAGGAGCCCGGGCCGCCACATCTGGCCTGTCACCCCATCTGGCTCGTCACAGTTGTCATTTCCCAGCGGCAGAGGCAGGAAAGGCTGCTGAAGGAGACCACGACTTTAGCCTGCCCGAGAAGGCTGCCAAAATGGGCTGTTAATGATACTGTTTGGTAAAATTTCCAAGTGTGATAAAGCACCTATATAATGAAGTTAAGTACCGAATTAATACCCAAATCCATTCTAATCCAAATCCAATTACTCATTCCTGAGTGCACGTGTGCATGTATGTGCGTGTTTATATGTAAAGGATTACGTCCTTGCCCCTCCCTCCATGCAGACAATGGCCAGGAAAACGTAATTCGTGGGAACGGCGAGTGTGGGCTCCCTGTCCCTCCACGCGGACCTACGGCCCGACCCCAAGGCCTCCTTATCTGCGTCCCTTCTGACTCAGCTGCGGATTTGGGCTTAAGAAAATGTGCCGCCGAGTGCATTACAGAAGTGTTAGGTGTGATTTGAATCCTGGCCATCTTTTCCCCCTTTATCTTGCTACTACCCAAACAGAAACCTGTAGAGTAAAATGCCTGAAATACTCTTTAGTAATGATTAATTCCATATTTGCCTTCTTAGATAAAAAAAAAAAAACAATCGAGTTGCTATGGTTTATTATAAAAGCTCAATTTATATCCCAGATATTTCATTAAAAGCATGGTGAGTATTCGAGGAGGCAAGCTATCACTTTATAATCACCATGTTTGGAAGCCTCAGCCCATTTAAATATTGGATAAAGGGAATTTGAGGAGTAAAATCTTGATCCTAGAAAAGAAAGCTAATATGGGTTGGGATACTTTAATCACAAATAAATTCTGCTGAGAGATAAGACAGAGCCACTACCCACCCACTGAGATGGCTGAAATTCGAAAACTGACAATACCAAGTGTTGACAAAGATGTGGAGCAACTGGAATGTTCACACATTGCTGGTGGAAACGGGAAACAGCACAGGCATTTTGGAAAACAGCTTGGCAATGCCTTACCGAGTTAAATGTACAGCCCGGTAATCCTATTCTTAGGTATTGACCTAAGAAAATGAAAACCGATGTCCATACAAATGACTCATACACAGATGTTCATAGCAGCTCTATTCCTATAATAGCCACCCCCCCCAATTTCACTAAAGTAAAAAAAAACAAAGCCAGAAACCAACAACACCGGAAATGACCCACCATTCATCAAGAGGCGAGTGGGTAAACCATTTCCTAGTGTATCTGTACTAGTAACGCTACTCAGCAGTCAAAAGAAAGACATACCGATGTACACAACCATGTGGCTGAATCTCAAAAATCTTATGGTGAGTGAAAGAAGCCAGACACACAAGAAAGAGCATGTATTACGTCATCACTTCTATGAAGTCATTCAGTGAAATTCTAGGAAAGAGGAATTGTCGGAAAGCAGGTGAGTGGTTGCCAGGGGCAGCGAGCGGTAGGGGAGGGGCAGGGGTGTGAGTGCAGGGAGGCACGGGGCATGCTTTGGGGCTGGCGGAAACCGAGCGGTAGCTACGGGGCTGCAGAGAACTGTCGACACGCATCCAGGTGCACGATTAGAATGGGAGGGTTTTATTATATGTAAGCCATCCTTTAATAAAGCTTGTAAAAGTAGATAAGACCCCATATTTAAAATCAAATTCATTCCTTTTTAAAGGAATGACCAGAAAGCCAGAAACCACCCCGGGGAAGACTGAGGGTGTGTCCGAACATATCCATGGTGTCAAGATAAAGTGAATAGACACAGGGATGGCTGGAGGGAGTATTTTAAAACCGTAATTCGTTACTTGTCTTTATTTTTAAAGTATCCATACAAAAAGGTAAAGCAAGTAGAAAATGATCAGACTAGGCAATTCATCTGGTAGAAGAAACATTTGGTGGAAAAATAATAATAACGGTAGCTAGCATTTGTTGAGTGCCTACTGTCTTTCTGACACCACTGAAAGTGCTTTATATTTTTAATTTAGGCGTACTTGGCACACGATAAATTGAACATATTCCAAGTGTAAAACCTGGTAAGGTTTGGCATGGGTACGCCTGTGTGGTCATCACCACCATCGAGGTAATGACTTCTCAGGCCCCTTTCGGGTCCTTTTCCTTCTCCCTCTCCCCGCATACCACCATCCCCAGCAGCCACTGGCCTGCGTGTTGTCTCTATTTGTTGGTTTATGTCTGCCAGGATTTTATGGAAGTGGAAGTCTACCATATGCACTCCTTTTTTTTTTTTTTTTTGGCATCTTTCACTCAGCATATTTGTTTTGAGATTCAGTCATGTTGGATGTGTATCAATAGTTCATTCCCTTTCTTTTAAAAATTAGTTTGTTCTTTTTGTTGTTGTTGTTGTTGATGATGATTAGTAGTCCACTGGATTGATATGCCAACCTGTGTTTATCCATTCACCTGTAGATGGAGATTTGGGATGTTCCAAGTTTTTGTACATTATAAATAAGGTGCTGTGAACATTTGTGCACACACTTTGCAGACATATGCTTTCTTTGAGATAAATATTTAGAAGTGAAATAGCTAGGGCATATGGTAGGTGTATGTTTAAGTTTTTAAAGAAACTTCCCAAGTTGTTTTCTGAAGTGCTTGTAACATTTTACATTCTCATGAGCAGTGTATGATAGTTCCACTTCTTCTAGAATTTAGCCTTGGTATGGTCAGTTTTTTAAATCGCCAACCTTCTAATATGCATGTAGTAGTTGGATTAGTGTGGTTTTAATTTGCATTTCTCTAATAACCAATTATGGGGGGCATCTTTTCATGTGCTTATTTTTCAAGAGTATATCTTTGGTGAAGTGTTTCTTTAAATCTTTTGCCTCATTTTAAAAATTGGGTTGTTTCTTTGTTGTTGAATTTGAGTGTTCTTTAGATAGTCTGGAAATGTTTGGATAAAGTTCTTTATCAGATATAAGCTTTAAAACTATTTCCTCCCAGTCTATGGCTTGTCTTTTCATGACTGAGCAGTTTCTGTAGCATAGCAAAAGTTTTAAATTTTTATCAAGTCTATTTTAACAGTTTCTTTTTATGGCTCATACTTTTGGTGTAGTATCTAAGAAATGTTTTCATGACTCAAAGTCACAAATATTTTATCCCATGTTTTCTTCTAGAAGTTTTATGGTTTTAGTTTTCACACTTTTTAAGTCATCGCTCCATTTTGAGTTAATTTTTATATACGGTGTAAGGTTAGAGGCTAGGTTCTTTGCGTGTGCGTATATCTGCGTGGCTTCAGGTTGGCGGGGATATGGATATGCTTCCTCCACTAAATTGCCTTTGGGTATATGCAAAAAATTGGTTGTCTGTAAATGTGTGGATCTGTTCTGGACTTTGTTGCATTGATCTGTTTGTCAGTCCCTAAGCCAATACTATGCTGTCTTGATTACTGTAGCATTAAAATAATTCTTCAAATTATTAGTCCTCCAACTTTGTTATTTTTCAAAGTTGCTTTGGCCATTCTAGGTCTTTTGCATTTCCATGTACATTTTATCATTAGCTTGTTCACTTTCACAAAAAAGTCTGTGGGAACTTTGGTTGGATTTCTTAATCTACAGATCAATTTGGAGGCAATTGATACCTTAAGAACATTGAGTCTTCCAACCCATGAACACACTATGTCTCTCGATTTATTTAGGTCTTTGTTAATTTCTCTTAGCATTTTTTCCTAGTTTTTAGTATACAGATATTGCATATCTTTTGTCAGATATACCCCTAAATATTTCATGTATTTTGTTGTTATTGTAAATGATGCTATTGCTTTTTATTCCAAATTTTCTGATTGTTTGTTGCTACTACATAGAAAGGCAATTGACTTTTTAAAAATTTGCATCCTGGAACCTTGTTAAACTCATTTATTAATTGTAAGAGTTTTGAGTAGAATCTGTTGGCTTTTCTGCAAAGATGATCATATAATCTGTGAATGAAGACGGTTCTGCTTCCTTTTTTTTTTTTCAGTCTGGATGCCTTTTAATTATGTATTTGTTTTCTTGCCTTGCCTCCCTGGATATAACCCCTGGTGTAAGGTCAAATAGAAGTGGCAAGAGCAGGCGTGCCTGTCTCATTACAGATCACAGAGGAAAGAAATTAGTCTTCCACTGTTAGAATGACATGGCCCATAGGTTATTCACAGGTACACTTCATCAGATTTAGGAAGTTCTCTACTGTTTCTTCTTTGCTGAGAGCCTCTATCAGTAATGAATATTGGATTTTTTTCAAGTATTTTTTTGTGAGTTTCTTGATTGATCATAGGGTTTTTCATTTTTAGTTTGTTGGTTTTCAGATGTTAAACCAGCCTTGCATTCCTGGGATAAACCTCATTTTTCATGTTGTATTATGCTCCTTATATAAGTACTTTACATTTATTATTTCATTTAATGCCATAAGAACCCTCTGTGGTATGAATACTGTTATTATTCCTATTTCTCATATGCGAAAAATTGAGGCACAGATGGCTTTGTCCCTTTACCAACTTATGGAACTAGTAAGAGCTTGGGTAGCTCTGAGGTGGGGGTCTAATCCAAAGGTTAAACTCTTGACTTCTGGAGTAGAAATGCAAGATAGAATACCAACAACGCATTTCACCTGTTTGCATGGCAATGATTAAAGATAGTAACAATGTTTAGTGCTGGTAAGGGAGTAGATAAAATTATACTTACAAACCACCAGTAGGAAGATAAACGGATGCAAGGCTTTCAGGGCAATATATCTCAAAATGCAAAATTTGTATTATAATATATCAATGCATGTGCAAAGGCGCACATGCAATGTTTTTTATTGCAGCCTAGGCCACTTTTAGAATTTTGGAACATAAATAGATAGAAAAGTATGGAACTCTCAAGATGATGATTTTTCACCTGAATATTTCTCCATTTTAATAAATACTGTGACAAAAGCAGGTTTATAAGCCAGGGCAGGTAGTGCAACCCCATTCCTATAAAACTAATTCATGTGTTTATAGTCATACACAGAGTCAACAGAGAAGTCTGGAAGGATCCCCCTAAGTAAGTAAAAATGATGCGGTTGTGTTTGTGAGTTGTGGAGTGGAGGGCGGGAAGGAGTCAGAGCCAGCCCGGCCGGGAAAGCAGAGTAAAGAGCACTGTGGCACGGCGCCATGCTCCGCAGGGACGGTTCCTGTCGTGCAACTGTAGTTTCCCCTACACGGAGCCAAAATCTGCATCCCTCCGTCTTTCACCCACTGACATGGAGAAGGACTCGTCTGACAAAACAAGCTCTTCAACCATCTGGAGGTAGTTGTTGATCCAGTCCTGCTATTTTTTCTGTTCGGATAAAACCCTCATCATTCTTCCTTATTCTTCTTTGCTCCAGCTTTTGAGCCCTTCTGTTGCCTGTGTTTCCTCTTCCGGATGAAACCCCCACCGTTTGTAGATACTCAGAACGGAGCAGCACGAGAGCCCAGATGTCCTTTGATCAACGTCCCCTCTGGGGCCGTGGAAACTACGGTTCTAGTAATTGATGCTAACTTGGCTTTCGGTTTCTGGAGGCCCCTCCACACTGCGAGTTCGCATGGATCACGGCTGCAGTGACACTGTGCAGACCTTTTTCTTGAGAGCTTATCAAGGCATTTCTTTCTTCCCTCCTATATATGTTGAACACTGCACTTCACTCTCATTCCTGGTTATCTTGATGTTTTGTTGTTTGGTTTTTCATTTTTTCTGCAGGATTCCAAAGTGCTGCAATGTTTGGATCCTGGCTCCGATGTGGATTGCCACCCCTTCAGGCCGAGCCCTGATCAATCGTGGATCTGGACAGAGCCTCTGAGGGCTCAGCCTTGGAGGCCTGCTCGGGGCCCTCTCCAAATTAATGCTGAATCCTTGCTCTGTACATGTTGGGGTAATTATTCTGTCACCTGTGAGTTCAGATAATTTTGTCCTCAGCCAGCCCTTTCTTCAACCATCCTGCAGAGCTATCCTGATAGTATGTATCAAATATTTGCCCAAAGCAGGACCACTTATGCCTGAAAAGCTCTCTGATCAACCAATCTGCAGATATCTTTAAGCAAAGAAACATGGCCAACTCTGAGTGATTATTCTTTTTTTAATGCCCAGAAAATCTCCTTATGCCTCTCATCTTGATTTCCTTTTTGTTGGCCAGTTCTCAGGCTCTCAGAGCCCTCTGACCTTCCAGTCCCCCACCCCCTCAGCCGCACCCCAATCCTCTAACTTATTAAATAAAGAGAAATTGCCAACACTTAGGAGAAGAGTGAAAGCATTTGGTTTTCTCTATAGATATTTCTAAATATCTAGGTTATTCAGATAGTCAAGGCTTCTGAAAAATTGACTGCTTTTCACCATTTAGCTCAAGGGTCAGTAAACTTCCTGTAAAGGACAAGATAGTAAATAATTTGAGCTCTTCAGGCCATATAGTTTGTGTCATAATTACTCAGCTCTGCTGTTGTAGCATGAAAGCAACCCCAGACAGGGTGTAAGCAAATGAACATGGCTGTGTTCTAATAAAACTTTATTATAACACCAGGCAGAGGCTGGGTTTGGCCCACTGGCCTGACTCCATATTTAGTTCATTGTTTGCTCTCATAGAGACATTAATTCACATCTCAATTCCAAAGAAATACACAAGCAGAGTGGCACTGAGGACCTCGGGAAGCCCAGCCAGATGGGAGTCATTGGCATCTGGCTTTTAACGCATTGAGTCAAGTTCTTGCAAAGCTGTTCTTTGCAGTTCTTCCACCTGTTCATGGAAGCAGAAAGCTCATTGTTTACATCTGGTATCATGGTGAATTTTCATATATTTCTTGGGACTTTTTTCCCCCTTTTTTCTATTTGTAATATGGAAAATATTTCCTTTTTCCCCCCCAGCCACATGTTTCTATGTATCACTTTGCTTTCATTATGTTGATATTCTCCTCTTATATGTATTTTGAAGAACTAATGTTTTTATAGCCAGTAGAGGTGGCCCAGTTAGACAGTGGTAAAGACTGAACTCTTCTCTTGTTTATAGCTAATTTCCTTGGAGAATCCTATAATACTCACTTTCTTGTTGGAGCCAGGAAATAACATATCTGTAAAATGTTCCCATGTGCTAAGAAAAAAGGAAGTCTTGGGTATGCCACATGGGTTCGATTTTCAGGTACCTTAATTCTATTGTCTCATTTGGTTTGTGGAAAATAAGGTTAGCACATTTTAATACTGTGAAGCTTTTTTTTTTTCACTAGTAAACATCTTCTAAGCAACTAAATCTTTCAAGTAACCTGATTCTCATCAGTTTTTGATATCTAAATTTCCCAACTTTTAACCCAAATAGATTACAGTTGACCCTTGAACAATAAGGATTTGAACTGCTTGGGCCACTTATACATGGATTTTTTCCCAATAAATCTCTTCTGCCTCCCCTTCCCTCTCCTCCACCTCTTCTGCCTCTGCCACCCCTGGGACGGCAAGACCACCCTCCTCTTCCTGGTTCCCTTCAGCCCACTCAATGCGAAGACAGGGTGAAGAGCTTTGCAATGATCCGCTTCCCCATAATGAAGAGTAAATCTGTTTTCTCTTTCTTGTTATTTTCTGAATAATGTTTTCTTTTCTCTGGCTTACTGTTTTGTAACAATACAGTATACATTATGCACATAACATGCACAATATTTTTTTTAATTTTAATTTTATTTTAACATATTATGGGGGTACAAGTGTTAAGGTTACATATATTGCTCATGCCCCTCCTCCCCCCTCGAGTAAGAGCTTCAAGCTCGTCCATCGCCCAAATGTTGCACCTCTTACTCAGTGTGGTTGTATATATCCATCCCCTCCTCCCCCCACCCCACCCTCCTGACACCCGATAAATGTTACTCCTATGTGTCCACTTAGGTGTTGATCTGTTAATACCAATTTGCTGGTGAGTACATGTGGTGCTTGTTTTTTCATTCTTGAGATACTTCACTTAGTAGAATGGGTTCCAGCTGTATCCAGGAATATACAAGAGGTGCTATATCACCATTGTTTCTTAAAGCTGAGTAGTACTCCATGGTATATATATACCACATTTTATTAATCCACTCACGAATTGATGGGCACTTGGGTTGTTTCCACAGCTTTGCAATTATGAATTGTGCTGCTATAAACATTTGAGTGCAGGTGTCTTTTTCATAAAGTGACTTTAGATCTTTTGGGTAGATGCCCAGTAGTGGAATTGCTGGATCAAATGGTAGATCTACTCCTATCGCTTTGAGGTATCTCCATATTGCGTTCCACAGAGGTTGAACTAGTTTGCAGTCCCACCAGCAGTGTAGGAGTGTTCCTCTCTGTCCACATCCACACCAGCATTTGTTGTTTGGGGACTTTTGATAAAGGCCATTCTCACTGGAGTTTAGTGATATCTCATTGTGGTTTTCATTTGCATTTCCCTGATGATTAGAGATGTTCAACATTTCTTCATATGTTTGTTGGCCATTCTTCTGTCTTCTTTTGAGAAGTTGTTAATTGACCATATTACTGGTGAGTCTCCTGGTCAGCAGTGGGCTGTTGTAGTTACTTTTTGGGGGAGTCAAAAGTTATGCTCAGATTTCAACTGCTGGAGGTAGGGGTCGGTGCCCCAAATCCTTGAATTGTTTAAAGGTCAACTGTAGTTTGCACACATTGTCTAATAATGGGACAAAGTGGATTTACCGGAAAAATAAAAAGCTGAAACCACCCACTAAGTGTAATTTCCCCGCCTAACTGCAGGGACACCAGGGCACCCTGTGCAGCATGTGGGTCAGCTTCTCCACCCACGCCCGGCCCCAAACCACTTTCTTCCCACCGTCCCAGTGCCTGCCTGACCACCCTTCGTTCACTCCATTCTTTGAGTGTGTATCTTTGCCACTAGATCAAAAGCAGTGGCCAGGGCTTGAGTCACATTCTTCTCATTTTCCTTGGCACATAAACTGAATAGACTGTGCTTAGTAGGGCTATGGGAGTGGGAGACCAGGAGACAGAACTGAGACAGGGTACAGGGGTTTGCAGAGTGGGTGCAGGTGTTAAAGTAAACAGCCCTCAGGCAGAAGATAACTAGGGAGGGCAAGAGCCAGCTTCAACCGGTTTGTCAGCTATCTCTGCCACCTTACCTGAACTTTGGCTAATTACAGTATCATTTATGTTGCTTTAAAAAAATTTCTCCATGCTTGAAATTGCCATGACAGTTCTGAAACAGTCATATAAAGCATGAAAATTCCTAGTAATTCTAGGAATTACTACCTAAATTCTTAGTAAAAGCCAACCCCTTAGTCTCGAATATTCTTCTTCTCAATTGGTAAAGCTACAAAAGATCTGAAGCCACTTTCTCCCAGTGCGGCTGCTCTCTCAAGAGCCTGCTGTGCTCTGCTGTGAGTGAGTGTGCTTTGCTTTCCACAAACGCTGCCACTTGCTTGGCTTATGTGGTGCATCCGGAAATTCTTTTCCTGACGATCACCAAGGTCTTGGAAAAAAACCTCCACTTGGGGGCCAGTAACAGGGCCTCAGGAGGCGATCATGCCGTTGGCCAGTGCGGGAAGGCAGACAGTGGCCGTCCACAATTCGCAGTGGGTTCACGGTGGGGTGGGGGGTCCGCTCTCCAGTCCTGCACTTAGAAATCTCTAACCTGGGCAAGACACAGAAACACCCGCCTCTCCTCTGCACCCCTCTGGCTGCCCCTCCATCCTGAGGAGCTGGTCCTAGAGAAGACAACTTGGAACAAACACCGAGACTTTCTCTTTTGTACTCTCTCTTTGTGGAAGAAGGCAGAGAGCTGAGCAAAAGAGAATCAGATTCAGAATGTGACACACGGCCAGTTCTGGCCCTCGAGAAGGGTGAAGTTCTCTTGCCCAGCCGGAGTGCCCTTGGAGTTTGTATTGCCTGCCACAAATTTCTCTAAACAGAGACCTTTTGACCTAATAAGTATCTTCCTAAAAATGCCAAACTTCTGGATGGGTTAAAGCACTCAGCCTTAAACAAAATGGGTATCACCTAAAACCTGGTGTATGTTCTCTGGACTTTTTGACTGTGAATTCTAATCATAAAGTTTTGAACCCGTACCTCCAATGCAGGTATATTTATTTTATCTACCAGTTATATACATTGCTACTGTACTAATGGATGTTTTACAACAAATATGAAATATCAATTAAAATAAGAGAATGACAGTTTATGTTACTTTTGTGCTCTAGCCTGGAGAGCAGTGTCAGAGGGGTCCCCAGTACCTGGACACCGCATTACATTAGGGCTGTGAAAGGTGGGGTACATCTTTGGAACCAGACCCCGGGCCCCTTGGACCACACCCTCCCTCCATGGGCTTAAAGCCCAGCCTGAAGGCAGCCGCTCAGAGCAATAGGGGTGAAGCTGGCTGTCTCCGTGACATCACTTCTCCACGACAGCAGCCATGGCCAAGCCAGTGGATGACACAGGGCTCTAGGAACCCACTTGTTCACCTGGTGGGGCTGCATCGGAGACCACTGAACAGGGCCTCACTGTCCACGTTATCCATGGGAAGAGCCCCAGGAAACCAGGACTCCAGGTTTCTCATGATCAGGATATGACCTAGCTTGCTCATGTTGTGTGTGTGTGTGTGTGTGTGTGTGTGTGTATCTCCATATGTAGGATTTTGGAGATGTCATGGACAAATTTTTGCAGCAGATAATTTTAATTGCCGTATGGGAGTCAGTTTCTTCAAGGAAGCCTATGCTTAATCCTTTTGTAAAGTTTCCCTCATAAATAAACCACCACTTTCTCATTTTGCCTGTTTTGTAATCTCTGACTTATGAAGGTAGGGTTTGATTCCAGCAGGTACACATGCACTTGGTAAAAAGCCCCCTCAGTCCCCTCATGGTGGGATTCATGGCAAAGAAGAGGAGACCATGGATTTTTAGCTTTTTGGGGAAAAAAAACTTCCTATCATCCATCTTTGCAATGGGGTGGAACTCACTAGCATCACTTCATTTCCATTTCATCAAGTGGCCACGAAATAGCCTCCTTGCCGTGAATCCACAGCCCTGTAGGAATGTGGGTTGAGGTGGGAAGTTGCTGGCCTGGGGTCCATGGTGCAGAGATGGGTCGTCCTGGGCAGACTGTAGGGGCTTAGACCATGTTCGCTGGATACAAGTCAAGGTGAGTCAGACTCCAGCATCCTGCATTCCTGAGTCCCTTCCTCTCTCCCCGCCCCAGGCTCCCTCCCCAATGTGTGCATTGCCT